TGAAAGCCTCCCTAATAAAGATAAATTAATTAATTATTAAATAATAGCAACCGGAAGAGTATTATACAGCAATCCGGAATTGTAAACAACAACTGGTGACCAGTAAAACATTCCTCTCATTTTCAAGTACAGTAAACACAATGTGGACACAAGTGCGCGATTTATTTCGATGGTCATTTGGATGCTACGTTAGTGCCATAATTGGGTTATATTTTTCAAATGCGGTCTGAAAATTAAGTGCAATATAAAGCGGTGAACAGACAAAACACAGGAATACAAATGGTAATACTTTCGATGTTGTCGCAGTACATGGAGCTAGACCTAAAAAGCTCCTCTTCCTTGTCTCTGGCGTTGCTTGGGATTCGAAAGGAAGGTAGTGAATTTAGAAAAACTAAATTGTCGGAAATGCAACAAGTGACACCAGTGTTGGCAAAATCATCAATCAAATGATATTTTTTCGCTCTTATAAGCTCTCAATATTACGCGTGATATTGGAACAAAATATCATGCTTGATATTGATTTTACAAGCTCCTTTGATATTGGCAGACTATTCACAACAGGCAGAAATCAAGCTGAGAGTTGACTCGACACAAAAATGATTCCGTTTTCTTAGAAAGAGAAAGTATAGTTTGCTATCTCTTTTTACTTCTCACCGGTGGCAGACACGAAGTGGTGAGATTTGTAGCTGGTGAGTTTTGTTAGCTTGATATTCCGAGCTGCAATATCACAGCTTGCAAAATCAACCGCAGTTGTTTGCTTGTTGATTTTTTGTCTATGAAAATCAAGCGTGATCTTGGGCATTGGCGAGATTTGATTTTTTGATATTTTCCCAACACTGAGTGACACCTACGACATTAAACAATATTGTGCAATAGATTCATATTATTCTATCAGGCTATCAAAATATTTGTAGTGCGTTGCTGATTCCTAGAGTAGTATAGTAGAGCTTCGTACACCTTAAATCAATCAATAATCAGCTTCTATTCTTAATGTCCAGCTTGAATTGTTACTTGGGGCTGTCGCATTATTGGCCGTTCCCTCATTCAACTTCTATTAAATTTTCACACTGCCGGACTCTAGCGGAATGATCAACATACCCTCTTCACAACTTTCTACAGCTAATAAATTATCGCCCTAAAAAGCTTCATGTTGATAAAAGATAGAATTTCCAATCAACTCTGATTTAAGCCATGTCTCCTCACAATAGTATTAGAAATATTGTGGGGAAACATGGTTTAAATCAGAGTTAATTGGAAATTATATATGGAAATGGAAATGAGTATCAAAACCACATGTTTCATCATTCCACAATTCGACAGTGAGCATGCATAAGGGCGTAATAAACGCGATGATCGATTCTCTTCGTCGATTTTCTCTTTAAATTTCCACTGCTAAGGGAAGCAATTTTCTGAAATTTATCCAATACAGTGCTGTAACAGGTTGTATTGACCATCAAAAGCAACAACAAACGCACCGAGATATGTTAATCCAAGAGAAGTTATTAACAAAAGAGAAAATCAACGAAGAGAATTGATTATCGCGTTTACGCTTTTATGCATGCTCACTGTCATTGATTAGCATGTAACCGAGATCGGTAAACGTCATGGTCATGGATCCATGCTGTACAGTAAACAATATTAAGTGTGCAACAATTGGAAAATTACCCTAACGCATTGAATTATTAATATTACACCCTTACTAAGATCGGTGTCACTATTAAAATAAAGGAGACTAAGCAAAAAGTTGAATTCGCCATCAATACAGCAAATCATCCTCTTATTTAATTGGGTAGATTTTTTTAAACTTAACGCATTTACGGATTACGAAATTTGGCCTGCGAATTAAAAAATGGACTAGGATGAACTTACAGGAAGAATTTGGATAATTCTGACAAGAACTCCATGAAAATTCTGGAAAGTCTTCTTAAGCAATTTCTATGAGAATTCCAAGGTATCGTATAACGGGGGGAAGTTGATCACTGTTTACAGATGAACCTGTACATTTTTCCAACCATTTGTTTGGCACACGAACAAACACCTTCTAAACCTGTACTAACAAATGCTTTTCTAATGTAAGAATTTAGTTTTTTAATGGCATGATTAGTTTATTTTTTTGAATAAAATAGTCTCATTTTTATAATTTAAATTTTCAATTCCGGGATGACGTTGATCATGCAGGGTTTTATGCAATGCAATATTCAGAAGTTAAAATTTATACTTTATTTGTATTCGCTGTACAAGAAACTGGGGTTTAAATTCGTATAGTTTTTGTGGTTTGCGTTAAACCTGCTTTTACTTTACTGTCGCAATATTGTTACAAAATTTGTAGGAAATTAAAATCGGCTATTCACAGAAAATTATTTTTATGATACTAAATTGCCGATCTTAACAAAATTTGACTTTTTAAATGGATTTAGCGACCCAAAATGAAGTAGAATATGTCCTTTTGTCAGGCACAGTTTATAAAGTACTACTTAAAACTACTTAATAAAACACTGTACAAATTATTTCATTAGAATATCATAAAAAAGAATTGTTGAGAAACGAAAATTCAAATTGGAATTGGATTGGAATGCTCAGATTGATTCTGTGATCAACAAAGCAACCAGTGCCCTGTGGTTATGCTCCAAAACTATTGGTAGAAAATAGGGTTTGAAACCAACAATGACAATGTGGATTTATACATCAGTAATCCGTCCAAAAGTAACTTATGCTTCGTAAGTAAGGTGGCCAAAAACGAAAGAGGCTACCGCACAGAGGAAGCTGGCAAAACTACAACGTCTAGCATGTATTGCTATAACGGGTGCGATGCGCAGCGCCCCATCAAAAGCGTTAGATGCGAGGGGGGCGACTCTATCTTCGATGCAGAAACGATTTTGTTTTGCTGTGCTTAGCTGCACGTACGATGAGTAGATTTTAAGAAGATTGATGAAGATTTTGAAGATTTCCTGCAAAAAGATGGAAGTCGATCCGAGTAGATGGATTTAGATGCTTAAAATGGCAAGAAGATTTTTCGTAGATTTATTCGCTGGCGTGAGATTTTTCGAGCATCTATGATTGAGATTTAGATGTGTCGCCCCCCTCGGTTAGATGCCATACTCAATCTACTGCCTTTGCATGCATACGTGCAACTAGAAGCGGAAAGAAGTGCTCTAAGGCTCAAAAGGTCTAAAAAAGTCATGCCTGATGACCTGGTTGATCACCTAAGCATTTTACAAAACTTCCAAAGAGGACCAGTGATGAGTATGAATGGAGACTGGAGACTGACCTCCCTTCAACGTATGTGAAATGTTGCGTTCGGATTGGGAAGTCGGTGGTCCTAGCGTTCGTCAAGGCTCAATCATATTTTTCACAGATGGCTAAAAAATTGGAACACAAACAGGTGCAGTAATCTTTGGCCCTGGGATAAATATTTCAGTAGCGATGGGACATTGTCCAACAGTGTTTCAAGCGGAGATCGTGGCCATACTTGAATGTGTAAGTTTTGCAAAATATAGATGTGCAAATATCTGTATATTTTCTGACAGTCAAGCAGCACTAATAGCGCTTCGTGCTTACAAATGTGCATCAAAGATTGTCTGGGAATGTACAGCTGTGCAAACAGAACTCACTTATATTGGGTTCCTGGACACTGTGGCATTGAAGGGAATGAAAGGGCAGACGATCTCGCAAAATTAGGTTCCAATTCACCGTTTATTGGTCCAGAACCATACTGTGGAATTTAAAACTGTGCGGTAAATATGGAACTCAAACGCTGGGAAGAACAAAGGGTGATGGCCAACTGGATGGCCATCACGAAGTGCAACCAGTCGAAAAGATTTATAACTTCAAATGTAACACATACCAAAAAGCTCTTTGAGCTCAATAAACGGGCTCTTAGCAAATACACTGGCCTAGTAACTGGGCACTGTCCGAGTAGATATCATTTGAAGAACATTGGTCGGGTTCAGAGCGATATCTGCCGTTTCTGTAGCATAGAACGCGAAACCTCGGAACACAGGCGTAGATCTAAATTTCTTCGTAGTGTTATCTTACAACCTAGTGGAATTTGGTCTGCTAATCCTGGAAAGGTAGTTGGTTTCATAAACCATATTATACCTGACTGGGAAAGGACGAGTCCAGGCAATTAGCTGTCCACTCATTAAATGGTGGTCAGCTTGCATGATACGAACAGTAAACATGGGTGGGTACCACAAAAGTTCAAATAATGGACGCAGTGGTTCAACTCCCCCCAACAAAAAAAAATGGGTTATTAAAGAGAAGTCCAAGAGGTCTCCCTTAGCTCAGTCGTTAAAGGCCCCAAGTAACATTGCTAGTGGTTTTAAAGCATGCTACAAGTCTAAATCATGGTCTACAGAACCCTCATAAAACCAAAATAGTTACTTGGGGCGCACCCTGATGGTGGTTGGATTCGATTCCCGGTTCAGTCTAGGAATTTAAGGGTTGGAAAATATCTCGACTTCCCTGGGCATGCACTTGCCTTGCCACACAATTATACTAATGCATAAATGGTACACGCATCGAAAACAATGAATTAATAACAGTGGAAATGTATCTAGAACACGCAATAAGCTAATATGCGATAAGCAGTAAGCTTGAAATGTGAAGAAGAAGAAATTTCCAACAGCATTTTTAGAAAAAAAAAAAATAATTATAATAAGAAATCAAAGGAAATTCTGAAAATAATTCGGAAGATAGCTCCAAGGAAATCCAGCTGCGTATCCTAGGTAATTTTAACAAGAATTCCAAGTGAATTCTTATTAAAAAGAATCCAAGAGATTCCTGACAAGAACTCTAAATCAATACTGGTAAGAATTCAAAGGGACGGTTCCAAACTCAATGGACAATTCAAATTCTGAGGTTATTATCAAGGGAGTTAAGCGGAATATTCCAAAGAAGTTCTAAGAACTACATCAGTTATCGATATTTTGATGCGACCGCACGTGAGAATGATACCACCGACATGAGAGTATGAATGTCACCTTCATGCTGTAAATTACTTATGAGGATTGTAGTAGTTATTGTAACCGTTGTTGGCATAGTGGTCGTTGTTGTTGTTGTTGTTAATATAAGAATAGTCTGATCCCGCTTGGCTGCGCTGCGGCATCTGCTGATACTGCTGTGGCTGTTGATACTGAACACCCTGATGAGGATAGACCGGATTCTGACTGTACTGCCCGTAGAGCGAGGCAGATGCAGCAGCCGTTGCTCCCGCCGTCGCAAATGCCTGCGTTGCTGCTGAGCTATTTTCCAAATGTGAAGGAGGGGAGGGGCGTTAGCAAGGTTAGTAAGGTTCAATTCGTTTATAGCCTATACTGGTAAGGTTTTTTTTTGTTTTTTTTTTAAGTATTAATTTGGAATGCTAATTTGCTATAATCGGCTGCACGCGGCAGTGGTTTGAATTTTGATAACCTTTAATGCGGGAGCAATGCATTTTGCTAATCAAGTTGCACGAGTTGGAACAACATTTCAGAACCAACACTTCAAGTAACATTCTTGATCATTCATTCAAAGGAGATAATTTACCGAAGCAGTTTTACCCTTTTGAAGTATTGGTGCTGATTTGAATTATGTAAAAATGTGCAATCGAGTAATCCCTGCAACCGTCAGACAACTGACATCATCTGTTTTCGGGTGAATTTAAATTCCGCAAACAGGTTTTGTGTTGGATTCGGGAATAACGTTTCGTAAAATGAGGAAATCACACAGAAAAAGAAGCGTTATTAATGGCAGCCATTGAAAGTCGATGCGAAGAGAAAGGAAGAAGCGTACACGAATAGCTAAGCGATCTGAAAGGCAGAAGCATTACTTGGCAAAGTTGGCCTGCAGTCCCTGGTAGAAGCTGTTGTAGTCGAAGACATTCGGGAATGCTGGCACCGGTTGGAACGGGGCGAATCCGGGTACGAACGCTCCGGTTCCGGCAGCGGCACCCACTCCATTCGGACCGGCATAGTTCGACGTGAAGCCCCCGTTGTAACCTGTATTGGTATATGGGTACTTGTCAGCATAAGGATTCTGACCAGTGGCGATCTGGTTGTAGAGACCAGTGGACGTACCGGTACCGGCGTATTGACTGCTAGCGTATCCTGCAGAAAGTTCGAACATTAGATTACCACTCATACGTAAAATTATCGCCTCCATGACTCACCTGCAGAAGCTCCAGCCACGAGGGCAGATATTAACACAAATTTTAGCATAATTACCTAGGATGAGACAAAGAGACAAATTTTTACTATACAATCGCAAAGTTTCTTGAAGACGATTTTCTTTCAAATCACAATAGTAACCTGTACTTCCTCCCCAACAAACCTTTGAAAATGACGATCCATTATTTCAAAACAGACGATGACAACAGCCAACACAATTATGTTTACTTCTTCGCAAACTTGCTGTTTTATATTTTGATACTTCAAGCTTCAACCGGACGGAATCCACGACTAAACTGCGGATAGTTAACATTTTTTTAAGAACACGATCAAAAACACGAACCCGAATGATGTCATTCTCGCGAAGCGTGCATCAGAGAGCGAGACTCATCATCCGAACACTTAAGAGCTTCCCACAACGTTGCGAACCATAACAAGCAAAGTAAACACACAGGCGGCTCATACTGCTGCCGAAGAAACCTTGCCAGACAATCGCTAATTGGAGAACTGAAATTTCAATAATTAGCACAACCGGCTAATCAAATGTTACTCCATTTGGAGAGCAAACAGGTTTTTACACTCTTGATATCATAAAATTGAGTATGATCCGCAGAACTGAAAAGAGTCTGAACCTGGAATGAAACTGATGCTCGTAAAACCCTTGGAATGATTCACCACTTCTCGGTCTCACGAGTAGGAAGAAACGTGATTATGGCAGGTAGCTGCTACCAGCGGAAGAAAACTATAGATTCGTAACTGTTTCGCTCATTAATTGCTACTACACCCAAGATCTGCTATTGCACAGATTTCGCTCACGATTGCTTTCGGTGGGATTTTCCAACCTCACCGACGAGACAAAAACAGGAAACGTCTTATCAATAAAATCTATCCGTCTTTTTGCCTGCTTTGATGGTGATGTTGTAAAACAATTAAGGTAGGGGAAAACAAAAAAACAAGAGAAGTAGGCTCCCTCAAATGTTCTGTTCGCAAAATAATCAGCAAAAAAGGCACAGTGGTGCCAGGCAAGTCGTAATTAATGAATTTTTGATGAAGTATTTTTGAAATTATTTATTCTATAATATTTATTTGTTCCTGAATCTCCGATAAATTTTAACACCTGATGTAAAATTTCAGCAAATTACAACAACAACTTAATTCTGTGCATAGCGTTTTTGCCATTTTAAGTAATTTGCATATGCATCAGAATGCAATGCCTTTTAGGATCAAAACAAAAATTTGAAATATGGAATTAAACACTATTTAATTTCCGAAATGCTCTTACCGACTGGGATTGATTTGAGGTTAGGTGGCTCATCGTTGGGATGGATCGAAAGCTTATTATTTTATCTTCATCTGACGTATCGGTCCATTTGAAACCAACTGAACGTTGGATGATGATACAATAAATTCTGAAGAGCCAATACCTAATATCTCACGGTTTTTCTCGTTTTATTAAAATTATTACAAAAAAATCAGTATCGCTGAATCACCCACTAAACGCAATAATAGGTGACCTCTTTCGTATGAGGCTAATTTCAATATATTCTATCGGAGGTAATCTTTCCATACATTTATAGGGCTTCAATGGTCGAGAGCTAATTTTTGGACGTGTTTTTCATTGAAAAATACGAGCAAAAGAACATTTCCATATTAGTCTTAAAGAAAAGGGGTGACCCTAAGCTTTCGCTTGGTGAGTGTTTCAGTGATACTGATTTTTAGTAATAATGTTATTCTACCAGAAACACCGTGCTCTATTTAATTTTCGATATATTTAGACCATTTCGTTACGAGACACAGTGGTAATTGTGTTACCATCTTTGTAATTCAAAACAAACAAATGATTGAAACCCTTACAATATGGGTATTTTTAGAAGGAGTTCAATGCGTAGAGTTAAGACGACGTTTCGTGGAAATTTGAATTAGTTCAGAATTCTTCAACTACGCGGCAATAGTGTACATGGGAACTCCCTGTATAAACTCTATCTCTAGATCATGATCATTTAAGGAGAGAGTGGATCGGTTCAGAATGACTCACTTCATCGATTTTTTGCAAAATAACGCAACGCTCAACAAAAAAAAACTCTTCCGTGCAAAATTAAGGAACTAAAATTGCTATGAACCATTTCCAAAACCATTTTCTAAATTAAATTTTAGGACCACAATCATAGTAGTAGCTAAATTTACATTGTGCCGAAATTAGATTCGGCACAGCTTGGGCACATCCATCGGCACACTTTCGGCCCAATCTCGTAGGCATTGGATTGTTGTAAATACAATGGGAGTCATTGAAGTTGTTCACAACATTACGTGCTGTTTGACTGCGTATCCAGGAACATCCTCTAATTGGATAAACCAGAGGAACTCAGACTAACAGTTCACTTATAGATCTAAATATGAAATGTAGGTTCTAGAATGAGCTCAAGAGGAAGAGGTAATTAATCAGACCCCATTAGTACCCTTAATTCAAATAATGCTGCAACTTTCACAAAACAAACTATAGAAGTCTATTCATCATCCTCTATAGTCGGTTTCCAACAATGTTCCCCCACCGGTTTCTGTCGCTGATAGACCGTTGTTTTTTACATCACGAAAGGCTAAGTTTCTGGTCTACCAGAAAGGCATTATAATACCCTAAAACACAGGAATTTTACTATCCTATGAACACAAAACACCAAAATTTCGCACACCCGCCACTTCCCACGTCCCGCGCCATGCTCAATCCGATTTTTCTTGCGATTTCAAACCAAAACATTCAAGGTGTCAGAAATACCGGGTTGCCGGGATGGGTATTTTACAAACAATCGTGCTCTATGACCGACACAATCGGCACACATGCGTCACACTGACAAAAAAGATGTCCCAAGATAGGTGTGCGGAGTGACCTACCCCTTGATGAAAAGTCATATTTGACTTCCGTAGATCGTTTCAAAATATTGTTAGTAACATTTCCTCCGCTCACAATATACCTGTGAATATTTTTTTTTTTATTATTAAAGAGACGTTCAGCCCTAGGCTGGTTCGTCTCTACTGCCTGTAACGCAACCTAAGCCATCAATTGGCTTTTGCATGTAACTGAGCGTAAGCAGTCTACAGGTGCAAGAACAATGTGAGGAATTCTGATATATCTGGATGTTTTTAAAGATAATTAGGTGAATTGTACTATTTTAGAAATCACCAGCCTTTGCCATTGCTAAATAAAATATTTTTTAAACCAGATTGATCCTCAATTTTCACTAATTGTTTCACAAGTGTTTGAAGATATTCTTAATTCTAAATTTCAGCGTAATGGATGGAGGTATTCTGATTTATCTGGATATTTTTGAACTTCGGTAGGAGTTCCCTGAACTTTATCAGGACTTCCCTGATTCCAAGAAATTAAATGGCAGGACCTCCATGAACTTCGGTAGGCCTTCCCTGAGCTTCAGTAGGACGGCAGGACTTCCCTGAACTACGGCAGGACTTCTCTGAACTACGGCAGGACTTCCCTGAACTTCGGAAGCACTTTCCCGAAGTTCGGAAGGACTTTCCCGAAGTTCGGCAGGCCTTTACTGAACATTGGCAGGACTTCCCTGAAGTTCGGCAAAATTTCCCTGAAATTCGGCAGAACTTCTCTGAACTTTGGTGGAACTTCTCTGAACTTCAACAGGACTTCCCTGAACTTCAGCAGGACTTCCCTAAACTTCGGCAATACTTTCCTGAACTTCTGCAGGACTTCCCTGAACTTCAGCTGTCCTTCTCTGAACTTCGAAAGGACTTTCCTGAACTTCGGCAGGACTTCCCTAAACTTTATCTGAACTTCCCTGAAGTTCGGCAGGCCTTCCCTGAACTACGGCAAGACTTCCTTGAAAATCCCTGTCCTTCGACAGGCCTTCCCTGAACTTGGAATCTTGGTATTTACGAATATGGTCAAAATTTCAATACTTCTCATTTTGCTAATTTGCAATGCTTGTTGGCATTGGTGCATTTTGAATTTGGGTGTGGTTCTGAACGAGTGCGGAGTCACCTTAAAGGAGCTGCTCTACCGCTCATGGCAAGTCCGTTCCATAGCACAAATCAGCAAGCTGACAAAAACGCGTTTTAAGTTTCCGTCTTATGTAATGGGACAACCCGTTTTACTAGCCAGCACCGGTGGTGGAATGGTAAGCGTGACTGCTATCTCTCCCCAATGGGTCTGCGTTCAATCCCAGCCGAGGTCGGTGGGATTTTTGTGAGGCATAAATCTCTGGTCACGTCTTCCTTCGGAAGGGAAGTAGTCATTGGTCCCGGCCCGAAATACCGATATTTAATGATATCTAAAGCTTATTTACGGTGCGTGTTACGACAATGAAGCCGCCTTAAATCTTATTAGCTTTAAAAACATTGTATCTGTTGCTTGTTATGAAATTTTTAGGACACATGAAATAACCAACATGTCATTAACTTTCACGTAATTTGTATATGAAACCAAGGTTGCAAATACTCATTTCAGCTAAAACAATGTTTTTAATTAGATGCTATGATCATATTTTGAATTGGTAAGATACAAGAAGAGGTTGCAAAGAATGTGTTTGGCATATTAAACCTGTTTATTTCACTTCATTAAAGTCACAATCAGCGATTTTTCACACACTCACTCACTCACTCACTCACTCAGCGATCAGCAAATCGCTGATTGTGACTCATAGAAAGCAAAATTTCAAAAGTTTCAAACGCATACTGCGTAACCTCTTCTTGTAAGTTACAAGTAAAACATGTCATCATACCATCTTTTGGTTTAATTATTACGAAAAACATTATTTTAGCTGAAATGAGTATCTGCAATCTTGTATGATACTCCTGAGATATTGGTGAATATGTTATATTATTGGATTTCAAACACTGAAAAAGTTGTTTGCCCACATAACAATGATTTAAGGTGTAGACCAGCTTATACAGGCAAACATTAACTGCATAATTTAAATGTAATCTTATCTGCAGCTAATATTGTAAGGTGGG